AAGTTTTGTTGTGTTGTTACTTTTTGAATGAAAATAAATAAATTAACAAATAAATATTAATACTAATTAAAGAAATATTAATAATTATTATTATATTTATTATTTTTATTTTTATAACTATAACTATTCTTAATGGTAATAATAATACACACATTTACACACACGCACACACGCACACACACACACACACATACATACATACACACGTAAATACTCGCATATGTACGTACATACACATACATACAAACAGACAAAAAGGCAGACAAACAAACAAACAAACATACAAACAAACATACATACATTTTCCGAGTGTTTTTTCCTCTACGTTTGTAATGATGTGTGCACTGGTATCATGCATAACGTTTTAATTAACGCATAATAATAATAATAATAATGATAATAATAATAACAATAACAATAATGATGATAATAATAATAACAATAATGATGATAATGATAATAATAATATTTGCACTTTCAGATGATAAATCTACACTCCTCCTCTTATAAATCATCATCGTCGTCATCATCATCGTCATCGTCGTCTTCATCATCATCATCATCAGTACGTTCTAAGGTTATGATGATGATATCGGCGGTGCTGGTTGTGATGGCTATGAACCTGCCTTTTTCCACTTCAACCAATGAAGTCCAGAACTACGCGTTATGTAGGCTATATCAAGTTTATGATTAATAATAATTATAATAATTATAATAATATTATTATTATTATTATTATTAATCATCATCTACGTCATCATCATCGTCGTCATCACGTTATCTTGATTGTTAATAATAACCGCATTCGTTATCATAATTTAATCCAATTTAATCATTGCCATTATATCGCTATGAATTTTATTATTATTATTATGCTAAGTGTCATCGTCATCATCCATCCATTCGTTTATTTATTCATTCGTTCATTCATTCGTTCAATTCTCTTCATTAAATCATTCATTCGTTCATCAATTCAATCCATTCAATCGATCATTCATCAACTCACTTTATTCAATCATTCACCAATTCAATCATTCATCAACTCACTTCATTCAATCATTCATCAATTCACTCAATTCAATCCTTCACCAGTTCGTTCATCAATTCATTCTATTACTACCTTGCTTTGCTAATTAAAGATTTGAACTCTTTTTTTGTATCTTATTCCAGTTGGTTTTTAATAACTTTTGTCTGCCTTCACATGATTAAACCTTTAACCAAAAAAATATCCTCTTAGCTACTGAATGCGTTGAGAACATGGGACCTGAGTGTGTCTATGAGGAAGGCTTTCCAGTCTTTCTCACGTGTCACATCTCCACAACTGAAGACTTCACAAGATATATGGTAGAAAAAGAGAACAGAGAAAAGGCAGAGAGAAGAAAGAGTCTTGAAAATTATTGGAGATGGAAGAGGGACGATAATATTTTTAATAAATTCGTGACAAATTCTAATAACAATAGTAATTATAATTATACTACTGCTACTACTACTACTAATAATAATAATGATAATAATAATAACAACAATAATAATAATATTAATATTAAAACCACCAACAACAATGCCACCATCACCAACAACAACACCGAAAAGAAAGAAAACATGACCATAACGATCGTTCCCAACAATATCATTCATTCAGCACCAACAACCCAAACAACTGCATCGACTAATGCTGCAGCAGCTATTGTAGCTACCACAACGACTACTGCTACCGTAGAAGCTACAACCAGCACAGTTGCTACAAAAGCAGCTTTTACAACTTCAACAGCAACAACAACAGCCGCTGTAATAACGACTACTCCACTTTATTTGACCATAGATGAGATCGGGCTGATGGTTGACAATAAGCCCCATGCCATTTACAACTATACGCAAGATGGCAAAAACGCGATTAAAGTGGCGTTCATAGCTTCACACGAGTTCGATCGATGTTATGCGCACTGCAAGTATTTGGGTGGGAGGAAAAACGTGAAAGAGTATGAATACAAAATGTTGAGAGTTCTGCGTTAGTAATAGTTGGTTGGTTGGTTGGATGGTTGGTTGGATGGTTGGATGGTTGGTTGGTTGGATGGTTGGTTGGTTGGTTGGTTGGCTGGCTGGTTGGTTGGTGAAACTATTGATTAAATGAAAAACATCTCTTTCTTCTCTCTCTCTCTCTCTTTCTCTTTCTCTCTCTCTCTTATCAGCCAACAGTACAACCAACTAACCAAAAATGGATCAATCAATCAATCGTTCAATCAACCAATCAATCATCAATCAACCAATCAATCATTATTCAAACAATCAATCAATCACATATCGCTCATTCATTCAATCAACCAACCAACCAGGCAAGCCGGTAATATCCCAAGTTATAAACTGTACATTCGACCAAAATGGCACCTCATTCTTCTGCCACTGGCTGCCCAAATTGGTGGATTATGTTGAGATGACATCCAACGAAAATGCTCTACACCATCAGATGTATTGGACAGTTGATTACTACCCAGATGACGGTCATGATGATGATGATGGTGATGGTAACCATGGTAACGATGGTAGAATTAACGTCATCGATGATAGGTCGGTTGTCAACGATGACGTCACGATGATGATGATGATGAGGATGATGGTGATAGTAATGTAGTGGCAAGGATTTTGTTGTTGTTGTTGTTGTTGATGTTGTTGTTTTGATAATGATGAAAATGATGATTATGATGATGACGACGATGATGATGACGGTAAGAATAATAAAAAAACTATTCACTCACACACACGCACACGCACACAACATGATCTGACACACACACACACACACACACACACACACACACACGCACGCAGTAAGGCAACATGGTCTGTATGTCCAAACATAAAAAATGGTGAATGTACCTGGAAGCGGCCACCATCACCATCACCACCACCATTATCATCACCACCACCAGCATCATCAACAGCAGAATCTTCAATGCTATCATTGCTATTCCTCAATCCTAAAAGTGGAGGTGGTAGTAGTGATAGTAGTGGCAGTAGTGGTGGTAGTGGTTTGAGACGAATTTGTGTTAAGCTGGTAGCATTTTGGCGAATTAAGTTCAAGTACAAGGCTCCGTTTGTAAATTTTCGTAACCACACATCACCTCTGTACTGTAAACTTCTTGACCCCAGAAACCCGAGTTAGTGATGATAATGATAACGACGATGGTGATGATGATGATGGCGATAGTGTGGTGATGATGATGGCGATAGTGTGGTGATGATGATGATGGCGATAGTGTGGTGATGATGATGATGGCGATAGTGTGGTGATGATGATGATGGCGATAGTGTGGTGATGATGATGATGGCGATAGTGTAGTTGTTGATGATAGTGGTGTTGGCGTGGTGATGATGATAGTGGTGGTGGCGTGGTGGTGGTGATGATGATGGTGGTGGTGGAGTGGTGGTGATGGTGGTGGTGGTAACGATGATGATGAAAGTATTTCATTTGAATAATGGAATAATCGTTCTGGATTACACCGAAGATATTTTCGTTTGCTTGTTTTTTTTATGATTAGTAAGATCAAATTCAGGGAGAGAGAAGGGAAAAAAAGAAGAAAGAGAGAGAGAGAGAGAGAGAGAGAAAGAAAGAGAGTGAAAAAAACAAAGAAAGAGAAAATTTGGAAAATAAAATAGAGAGGGAGAGAAAGAAAGATGACATGAAAAAAATGAGTATGAAAAGTATAAAGAAAAAACTGAAAGAAAAAAGAGAGATAGAGAGAGAGAGAGAGAGAGAGAGAGAAGAAGAAAAGGTAGAGAGGGAGAGAAACACAGATAGAAATAAAAAGAGAAAAATGAATGAATAGAACTAGAGAAAGAGAGAGAGGGTGAGAGAGAGAGAGAGAGAAAGTAATAGAGAAGTAAAATGAAAAAAGTATTGAATGAAAAATATATAGATAGATGGACAGAGATAGAAAGAAAGAGACAATTAAAAGAAAAATTGAAAAAAAGAAGCGAGATAGATTGATAGATAGAGAGAAAAAGAGAGCGAGAGAGAGGATGGTTAAGAGTGTAGCCATTAATAAGAGCATTAGAATGTTTTGTAAACAATATTGTAGTGATTCGTTTGTGTAGCTGTATGTGTTTGTCTCTCTGTATGTACTACGTAAGTATGCATGTATGTATGTATGTATGTATGTATGAATGAATGCATGTATGTATGTATGTATGTATGTATGTATGTATGTATGTATGTATGTATGTATGTATGTATGTATGTATGTATGTATGTATGTATGTATGTATGTATGTATGTATGTATGTATGTATGTATGCATGTATGTATGTGCATGTACATACATTATATTTATTTACATCATCATCATAGTCAGTGTCGCATTCATCATCATCACCACTACCGCCACCATCATCGTCATCATCACCACCACCATCGTCATCATCAATATCACCATCATCACCACAACCATCATCATCACCACCACCATCATCATCACTATCAGGACCGACTCCATTGAGGAATGTTGTGGTGGCGGGCATCACGATCGGTTGCGTATTGATCATGGTGCTCCTAATTTGTACACCCCTCTGTATCAGGTATTATTATCAATCATTCATCCGTTCATTCATTCATTCATTCATTCATTCATTCATTCATTCATTCATTCATTCATTCATTCATTTATTCATTCATTCATTCACTCATTCATTCATTCATTCATTCATTCACTCATTCATTCATTCATTAACTCGCAGGAGGGCCAAGAAAAGATATATGGACATAAACATACAGCCTCCGACTATTCACTTGGTATGACGTCATCATCATCATCTTCTTTTTCATCATCATCATCGTCGTCGTCATCACCATCATTATCATTGTTATTTTAACTATCGCTGGCTTATCTAGAATAATTAATTGCTATCATCATCATCATCGTCGTCGTCATCATAACCATCATCACAAACGCAATCATCATCATGATTGCCGTTATCTTTCTCACCATAATAATTATCATCATCATCATCACAAATCATCATCATCATCTTTATCGTATCTTGAAGTAGAACTGACTATTCTAACTCACCATATTTCAGTCAGTCTTCCCGGTTCTTCTTAATACCCTGTACCTAGGGCCTTGCATCCTTGCTGAATGCATTCTTTGCACTCCTCTCAAATATTTCAGAATCGTCTTCAAGCTGTTCGTTTTGACATTCAAATCTCAATCTAACAACTTCCAAGGATGTCTTTTTGATGTTTTGTTTAAACCTAAACGCCCTGGTCTTGGATCATCTTCTCAACCTCGCTATTCAGTCGCCTGAAATAACATTATTATTATTTGTATTATTATTATTATTGTTGTTGTTGTTATTGTTATTATTAATATTAATATCACTACTATTTCATGATATCTGTTGAACACTCGTATACTAACAAATCCCCTCTAGCTACTC